TATAATCATATTTAAATACCTATTTAAGAGAAAATGTTGGCTATTTGATCAATTATATGATTGTTTTATTAGACAGACAAGTCGTTCCGTGCATATTTGAGACTTTATATTTGTTAATTTGTCTAATTATGGTTAAACTGTCTGAGCATATAAAGGATTTGAAATTTTCTTAGAACTAAAAGTTTTGTTCTGAAATTTTTCTAAAAGAATTATATTTTAGTTTTATATCAAATAAAACATGAAATTGAAGGATTCTAATAGCTTCATCCGATAGTGGAGTATTTCATCTTCCTAATTTCCGGACGAAAAATATAAACTAAGTGACGTAATTTATGAAACATCAATAGCATTAAATAGCCTTATTTGATATAAAATAATAAATCCTGCAAATTATAAAGAGTATAACTTGTTGGATATAAATAGATGGACCTAGAGGATATTTAATTTTGTACATAGATCGTTATATTATTGTAAGAATAAAATAATGTGAGCACCACAAATCCATTGTAGAAAGTAATAATTATAATCAATTATATATTATCAGAGATAATTAAAAACTTTGATGTTTTGCGAGAAGCCTTTTGAGGCATATTTATTTGAAATAATAAAAATTATATTATGGTGATCATCACAAAATATGAATTTTAGCAGGTTAACCAGAATATAATGGTTGCGTTTGCAATTATAAACTCATCGGATCATAAATTCTTGTAACATTTTTTGCCCAATTATTTGATAAATCATTTAACTTAGTGCAAAGCATAAGTCCTACATAAATATTGAACCAAGCATACGTAGATGTAACCATATAATAATTCCCTTTATTCTTTATAAACGATTCATGCATATACATCTATATAAACAATTAACATATGACAGCTTGCGATGACAAACATAACATAAATGATATTCTGGTAAAGGGATTCGCCCTATTTTATGAAAGTTATATAAATTTGAGTTTTTCTACTTTTCATTGATTCTTCCTCTTGTGAAGTAAGTATGATGTATGCTGATTTTACTATTAGGAAACAGCTATATTAATAAATAGATTAAATTATTCGTACTTACGTATTAACTATTTAAATGTCGATGATTCTTTTACTCAGTAAAATAAATATAACTCATTTTTACATTACTTATGTTTGGCTAATATAAGTAAGCTAACATAGATTAAAGTAATTCAAATAAGATAATTAGTTGGCAGGATAATTAGAATGTCATTTTAATAAATTCTTAATTACCGTTTTTGTCCAAAGAATTGCTCGATATTGGCTTACACCATGCGTAAGAATTTCTGATTTAACAACGGCTAAGAGAAATGGATCACGTTCACCAGTAAGGCAACCGCAGTAAAGGTTGTGCACTAAAATTAGATTATAAATGCCGCATTTACGAAACCAGAAAGAGTAAAATTCTCAGCTATTAATATTGTAAATGCCTTCTCTAACCTTAACATAGGAACAGTAGATTTATGACCCACCAAATTAGTCAAGCAAATTCAACCACTAAATGAAGCATAATTAACAGAAAATATGAATTAAAATAAGCTTCATTTAAATTAAAAAAAAATATATATTATACTCAATAAAGATATTATAGAGACATTCAACTCTATTAACTATACTTTCTTCGTTATCTAAGGTTTTAATAGGGAAGGCATCTATTAATCATTATAACGAATTTAAAAAAATTGTTAAGACTTTAATTTCGTGTGAAAGCGCATGATAAAAACATTCTTAGGTAAAGCTCATTAAAATACGCTGGCTACTTCCCGTTGTACTACGGCCGCTTGGCTTCTATACAACTTTCAAGGCGGCTTAACATCCTATCTCTTCAATATTTCAATCAAGCATAAGTAATTCTCACTCGACTTGCTACCACCATTCATCACATTCAGCGTATTCCCTAATCTCTAGTTATTAAGGCAGATAGTAAGTTAGGCAGAGACGTCTTAGGAAGCAGGTATATGCTTGTTTTCCTCTTAATTTTCTTTTTAACAGTATTTACAAAACTAAGCTTGGAAGTTTAAATCTATGATTATTAGGTGTATGAAGCTTTCGGATGAAAATCATCTTAGCGAAAAGTTAAAAAGTCTGACAGGTTTATTGCTGAGAATAATTAATCTCTGGGGTTTATTGATAATAATAGGTCTTTAATGAGGAATATATTTTCAGACTGATACTATTTAGTCAAAGATAGGCAATTTGAGACTCTTTCTCATGCTCCACTCCTGCTGTCCTGTTTTCTTTCTAAGATGATAGGAGAACTAGTGAGGAAATAGGATATAAAGACAGTTCTCAAAGAATCTCTAACTTTCTTCCGGTTTATCTTCTTTAAGAGAGAAATATGGCCCATGATTAATATTAGGCTATTATGAGAGTATGTGCTCCTGTATTTGAACTAATGTTAGCGGGCCCTGTCGCCCGAGTACCAAAGATTGGCGCAGCATAAAAATTCTCATTAAGGCAGCTGGGTCGAACGGTCAGAAAAGACTGAACATGAGATAGAATGGTATCGAACTTAGAGTTATGTTGATTAAGGTATGTTTGTTACGAAACTCAAGATAAGAGAAGCTATTGAAATTAATACATTAGGAAATATGTTGAATGTGATAAATGGTGGTAGAAATTCGAGTGAGAATTACTCATGCTTAATTGAAATAAAGAAGCGATAGGATGTTGAGCCGCCGTCCAAAGAAGAGGACTCAACTTGACAGCTTAGTGATGGTTCTATCCAAAAGAACACTCGTTCAATAGAAATGTGTAGCTCCTCAATCAAAATAGCCCTCAAGTCTATCAAATCACAGCCATACTTCTCCATGGGCCATTAAATATTAATAACTCAGAAATACTGGTTCGGACTGATTGTTTTATAATTTGACTTTCACGTGTACAGGCTTACAGCTCAGCACTCCAACCAGGGTTACTTATGGATTAACGCAACCTCGGTCATACGCTTTTCATTGGGTCATTAAGCCCTGATGATCCAGGCTGACGTTAAGCTTTTTCCTAATTACTCTAAGTTATGGCCGGATTTGTGTACAGACATTAGCATACATATACACTCCGACACGCTCGAGTATAAGTGAAGTAACCAAACCTATCTATATCCATCTTAATCTAAATTTTTCTCGCAATAAGTGCATATATATTAGAGGAAAAAGCCGGTCAGTCCTCTTGTCTAAGTGTAAAGTTAAGAATTTTACAAGAATGAGTCCCAGTTCTGATGATATTTGTTATATGATGAAATAGAGCTCAGCACGTCTTCGCCCGAACACTGGAGGATGTCTGGTGGACTACACTAACTTGAAAGTCGTATAAAAGCCAAACGGCTATAGTACAACGGGAATTAGTCGGTATATTTTAGTAAGCTTTACCTAAGAATCTTTTTATCATGGAATTTCAGACCAAATGAAAGTATTCTTGCATAAGCATATAATTTCGGTGTAAGATTAAAATTTCAAATATATATATATATTATTTATCGATTTATTAAGAGTAATAATTAGTGCTACAACCATCATTCTGTTTAACCTATTTTTCGAACGTTATATTAAGCTCCACTCAAATTTGCTTCGTGGGTAGTTTGCCAAAAATTAACTTATTGCAATTAATTGGTAATGAAGCCAAAAGCATTAAAAAGAAATAAGTATTTTATTTACAGCCAAAACTATGGAAAAGTTCTAAAGATTTACTCACTTTTGCCTAAAAAATATTTGAAATACCATCGCGTCTCTCTCTCAGGATTCTCAAGATGAATTAGACTGGATGTCGATAATATTCCAGCATCTACTGAGGGGCTCATTGTGCGTCCGATCATGTTATTATTGGTCATAGTATTCCCAGAAACACAATTAATCGTTTGCATGTTTGTGGTTACTATTGATTTTGAATGATAACCCAACCCACTAGCAAAAGGTTTACTATCTTCCAGTTCGGTTCCTGAACCTCCAAGAGTTTTTCCGACCCAACTCACAGCACATCCTTGATCCGAGCTTTGATTACTGGATAATGATGGCTTATAATCTTCTAATTCATATATATCACTGTTTAAAAGTCCTCGATCTGTTGAACCTAAGGTATGAAGATTTTTTTTCGACTTTCCAGCCTCTATGGAAAAAGCACTTTCTGTTATGGATTCATCAGGATGTGCCGAAATCTGTTGTGATCCACTGACTGCGATGGTGCTCATAGGCCAGCACGTTGTGAGCATGGAGGAAGGGAGTGGATCTGAACGATGCGCTGTACTTGTCTGCACTTGGGAAGAGTTTTGGCCTGAAACCTGTGAGGTAGATAATATTGTTGATGATTGGGCGCGAACAAAGCTTTCAGAGGGGTATAAATTCAAAGCATCACTATTCATAAATGTATTGGAGGCAGAGGTAATCACAATGTTTGACGATACAACTGTGACAGCAACATCGGCGGTGGTGACAGTCGAAAGATTTGCTGAATGGGTGCCACCAATCTCAACTCTGAAACGACCGGCATTGTTTATGTAGCCTTGTTGATCTTTCATGTTTCCGTACT